AAAAAAAAAACAAACCATGAGATATTTATATCATTTAAGTAACTGGAGTTGTTGGTATGATAAAGAAGGGAGAAGTTATAAATGCTTGTATTTAAGCTTAAAATGTCATCTGAACACTAACCTAGTGTATATACAGCTAATGTGTTTGTTTTTAGTCATTAAATCCTTATTTACATTGCGTTTTCATCGTCACACATTTGAGGATATAACCTGTTTGTGGGCTGACTTAGGTTTAAGTCTTCACCCCCATGTGCAGGGGGTTTCTCCATTACTCTCACACGACTACCACACTCATGACACTTTTGACACTGGCTGTTGGGGGGGGATTCCCACACCAAGCAACTCTGTGACGTGAGCCAGGTGTCCTCTAATTTAGCTCAATTCTGATGCTATTTACTTGGAGATAAGATAGTGTCAGATCCTACGGGTTAAGGGCTCTTGCCCCCCCCCGCCCCGGGGCCAATCACAAGTCCAGGTTGTCACCTGTGCTGACCCATCAGCTATGAATCAGAGGTCTATGGCCCCTTCTACAGTTTGATTAATTTGGTAGCACAGATCATAAAACCCAGGAAAAGTTTACTGCTGCTTACCAGTTTATTATAAAAAAATAACAAAGGGGGCGCCTGGGTGGCTCAGGTGGTTAAGCGTCTGCCTTCGGCTCGGGTCACGGTCCCAGGGTCCTGGGATCGAGTCCCACATCGGGCTCCCTGCTCCTTGGGAGCCTGCTTCTCTCTCTCTCTCTCTCTGTCTCTCATGAATAAATAAATAAAATATTTAAAAAAGAAAAAAAAATAAAAATAACAAAGGGTACAGATGAACATCCTACTGGAAGAGAGGTGTAGGACCAAGTATGTGAGAGAAGAGGTATGGGGCTTCCATGTCCTTTCCGGGGGCACCACTCTCCCAGCACCCCCATATGTTCATCAACCTGGAAGGTCTCCAAAGCCCATGCGATTGGGATTTTTAAGGAGGCCTCATTGTGTAGGCGTGATGGATCATTAACTCAATTTTCAGCCCCTCTCCCCTCTCTGGAGAATGGGGTGTGGGCTGAAAATTCCAAGCTTCTAACCATGGCTTAGTCTTTCTGGTGACTATCCCCCAACCAGGAGCCCGCCAAGAGCTCCCTCATTAAAAGAAAAGACACCACTGTCAGCTATGAGACTCTAAAGGATTTAGGAGCTCTGTGCCAGGAACTGGGAGCAGAAATCAATATACATCTTTTCTATTCTCTCACACCCTGGTACCTGCAAATGTGACCTTATTTAGGAATAAAACCTTTGCAGATATAACCAAGATGAGGTCAAAAGCCAGTCAATGATAATTACTATTAGATGAATGTTTTAACTTTATTAAAGATTAAATTATCTCTGTGAAGACCATTCAACTTGCGCAGAATGCAAAATTGAAGTACACAGCATACTGTAATCTCTGTACACCATACAAGCAATGTTGGATATTTACATGAAATCAGTTGCTACCTCTCAGACGATTTGGGGATTCGGGTGGGGAGGGTCTAAATTTAAAAATTACCAAACTAGATTATCATGGGCTACAAGAGTATCAATGTAATACCTTCATAGACAGGAAATCTGCCGGCTGCTAAGTCTGTCTCTATTACACATTCTGAGGAAATAACCACAGGATGGGCTTGTGGTTCAACTGATGGAAATAAATCCTTTGCGAGGTAGACTCAGGCCCAAACTCCATCTGTCTCGTGACCATTACAGAAGTCCCTACTCTGACATGGCGGTGTTTGGGAATCAAAGAAATAGCATTATATTGGAGCCAACACCTAATGACCCTTGGAGGTCCGAGTATTTCCCTTTCTCCAGGGCATAGTTACGCTGGTAAATAACCACATCTCCCTCTGGGAAGGCCTGGAGGAAGACTCCCACTGTCTCCTATGGGTACATTGCAGGCCCTTATTCAAAGGTCCTCCCTGAAGCTACTTTGGGCCTAGGAGTGGACTTAGGTTTGGGAACTGAAGAAGGTACAGTGAATCTCCACTATAATCACTCATCAGGCTTCTGTCCAGGAGACCCAGACATTTTCCACTTGTAGGTCAAGCTATACCTTAGAAGGCTGCCCATATTCGAGTCTCCATGACCAATTAGCTGTCACCAGCAGGCCAAAATCCTCTGATTACCACTCTGCCCTAAGGCATGTTATGATCACTGTCCACTGTGTCTCCAAGGGTTGGGTCCTGACACCTGGCCTCTGCCACTCCAGGATCTTATTATTTCCATTCTGACAGTCTGTTTCCTGGGGCCACTTCTGGCACCAAATATGCAATCAGTCCTGTTAGGAAGCAGTGCATTCAAAAGGCATGAAAGAAAATGGGATGAAGAGATTCTCTACAAGTGTGGGCAGGGCTGGGGGAAACTGACAAGGATGGTGGGGGACACACAGGGCTAGCTAGCAACAGGGGGAAGTGTCCACTGTTCCTACCTTGAAGAGAACAGGGGAATGTGATGACCTTGTAATGTGTCACGTTGGCTTGGCTGAGCTATATTCCCCAGAGTTCCCTTCCCTGTACATTTCCAGTGAGGTCTTAGGTGAAATTTGGAAGGGTGGAGGTGGAGAAGTAGTTATCAGAGTCCATTTGAGCCGCTGTGACAAAATGTCAGACTGGGTAGCTTACAAGCCACAGAAATTTATTTCTCCAAGTTCTGGAGGCTGAGAAGTCCAAGATGAAGGTTCTTCTGGTGAGGGTTCTCTTCCTGGTTCACAACTGGGGCCTTCCCACTGTGTCCTCACATGGTGGAAGGGGAGAAGGGTCTCTTGGGGGGTCTCTTTCTTTTTCTGAAAAATTTTAAATTTTTTAAAAAAGATTTTATTTATTTATTTGAGAGGTGAGAGAGAGAGAGAATGAGCACCGAGTGGGGGGGAGGGGCAGAGGGAAAGGGAGAAGCAGACTCCTCACTGAGCAGGGCAACAGACACGGGGCTCGATCCCAGGGGGTCTCTTCCGTAGGAACATGGATCCCACATTATCTCCCAAAGGCCCTACTTCCTAATACCATCACCTTTGTGGGCAAGGATTCAGCATATAAATTTGGGGAGGATGCATTCACATCATAGCAGCTGTCATTTGGTTTTTTTGCTCAGAAAGGCTTCTGTAGCTCACATATGTTGTGGCTTATCTGCTGGCTCTCCTTGCTGGCATGAGTCAGTAGACAGGCTGCTCTACCTTCCCCAGTACACCCCTCCCTCGAGCTACCAGGCCATTTCTCTTACCTTTAGTACAACTTCTTGAAAGAGTTATTTGTATTCATTGCTCCCCGTGTGTCTCCTCCCATCGTTCTTGAAACCACTCCATTTGTGCTGTGGTTACCTGTGGTAGCCAGCCTCTAAGATGGCCCCAGTAGTCCCCATCTCCTGCTTTCCTGCCTTTGTGGGGTCCCCTCCCACCTAATATCAAGGTGGGTCTGTGTGACCAATACAACCCGGGGATTATGATAGTTATCACTTCCACAGCTAGGCTAAAGGGAAACTGTGGCTTCTGCCTTGCTCTCTCTTGGGTCCCTCACTCTGGGGATTGCCAGTCATCATGTGGTGAGGCCACTAAAGAAGCTCTATGAAGAGGTCAAGTGACGAAGAACGGAGGCCTCCAGCTAACAGCCATGCAAGGGAGCCATGTTGGAAGTGGACCCTTCAGCCCCAGTCAAGTCTGGAAATGACTGCGACTCTGATCAACATCTTGATGGCTAACTCATGAAAGACCCTGAGCCAGAACCACCTCCGTTGCTTCCAGATTCCTGAACTACAGAAACTCAGTGAGATAATCAATGTTGGTTGCTGTCTTTAAGTTGCTAAGTTTGGGGGCAATTCGTTACACAGCAATAGATAACTAATATATTACCCTGCGTTATGGGTTGAAGCACTAACCCCCAACACCTCAGGATGTGACCTTATTTGCAACTTAATTAGTTAAGATGAGGTCATACTGGAGTAGAGTGGGCCCTGGTCCAATGCAACTAGTATCTTTACATAAAGGGGAAATTTGGACACAGACGTGCAGGAAGGGAGAATGCCACGTGAAGACTGGGTGATGCTCTCATGAGCCACGGAACTACCAGAATGCAGGAGAGAGGCCTGGGGCACATTCTGCCCAAGAACCTTCAGAAGGGAGCAAGGCCCTGCGATCCCTCGTCCTCAGACTTCTAGACTTCAGAACTGTGGTACAATAGATTTCTGTTGTTCCAAACCACCCAGTTTATGGTACTTGTTATGGCCCCTGTAGAAAACAAATATACCCTCTATGCAATGTCCTTTTTTTGCCTTTGGCTACTTTTAAGATTTTTCTCTTTATTAAATTTGGCTTTGATTTTTACAGGTCTTGAAATTTGACTTTGATGTGCCTTGTGGTTTTGTTTTTACCCTGCTTGGGGTTCAATGAATTTCTTGGATTTGTAGATTTACCGTTTCTATCAGATTTGAAAAACATTCTTCCCAACACATAGTTTTTCCATCTGTATAATGTTAAATATAAACAATAAAGAAAAACAATACAGTAATGGGCAGAATCTTGTGTTGCCACAGAACCCAAAGCAAGCAGGGAAGCAGAGGGCATAACTGGACAGACAGCTAACATGCAGACCTTTAGCACATGAAAATCTCTGAAACATACAAAGCAAGAAAGTACTAGAACTGAGGGGAAAATATAGACAACTTTGGTACAATTTAAGAAAAAATTCCATCAATAAAGAATATAGTTTTTTTGTTTTTTTTAAGTAGGCCCCATGCCCAGCATGGAGCCCAGTGTGGGGCTCAAACTCATGACCGTGATATTAAGACCCAAGCTGAGATCAAGAGTCAGATGTTTAACCAACTGAGCCACCCGGGCACCCCAAGAATATAGTTTTAAAGTGAAAGATAATAAAATCCATTCTCAATAGCAACCAAGGCTTTGAAGTAACTATGAGTAAGTTTCAAGAAAAAGAGCAACACACACACATATAGACACACGTACATTTACATATATGTACATATTCATAATACATGCCTACACACCTGCGGATGTATATATATGCCAATTTTACCACTTGGATAAACCCGCTTCATCTTCCCTGGGGCAGAATGCACAATGTGGCAGAGGCCAGGAACGGGCTTAGGGAAAAATCCCACCCACGGACATGAGGATTTGAAGGAAAAACATCTCCTACTAACTTAATGGCAATCCTGCCTTCCTGCATGTATACATCCAACGTAATTCTAATTGGCATTACAGAGGCCTTTTTTTCCCCTCAGAATTTGGTAAGCGAATTCTAAAGAACACTTCAATGAACACATTTATTAGAAAAAAGAAACAGAAACAGGAACCCTGTCTGTTGACATATTCAAACCACTGACAGAATAGGGGTGAGTGGATACCAAGCAACACCAACACCAGGGGGACCAACCCTTTCTGGATTCAAACACCATCAGCATTCTCTTTACTACTCAAATCTGCTTCTCTCTGCATTTTTCTTTTCCTAGTGCAATTGCTCTTTTCTTGACTTGGCTGCAGGGAGCTTCAGGATCACATATTAGCTGTCCCGTGTCTATCTCTCATCACAAAAGTCCCACGAGGGCTTTGGTGAGCTCGGCTTTATCAAATGCTTACCAGTGGCATTCCCACTGTGGGGCCTGGGGGGTGGAGTACCAGTAAGTCCTCTTAGTTGGCGCCTCTGCAGATAAAGGGGTAAGAATCTGTTACTAAAAGGCTAAGGAGTCCGGGAAGACAAAACCAACCTGTCTAATCTGAGCATTGAAAACACCATAAATTGAAAGATTGTAAATTAATTATCGTAGGAACAATTGATACCGATTTGTAATGAAATAAGGTTAGATCCTCACACCTCATCACATATATTGTCAAGTAACAGTGTGGGGAAGACTTGACTAATTTCACTTAAATAATGTTTCATTATTTTAAAAGGGAGGCACACTTGGCATAAAGTCTGATTGTGGAATGTTTTAATAACTCACACCGAATGTTTCACCACATGGATTAAACACACTCTATTTCTCTCCTGTGTGAGTTCTCTGATGTTGTAATAAGGGCTGATATATGGCAGAAAAATGTCTCACATTAATTGCATTTATAAGATTTCGCTCCTCTGTGCATTTTTATAAGGCTTTAGCATTCTGTAAATTATTTGATGTGTTACTTTGTTGGTCATTGCTTCTCCGGAATTTACCCCTTAGGAGCTTTCTGATGTAAAAGGAAGTTTGATTTGTGGCACAATGTTCTCTTGCATTTATTACATTCATAGGGTTTCTCCCCTGTGTGTATTTTCTGATGTTCAGTAAGAGTCCTCAGCCGACGGTAGGTTTTTCCACATTCACTCCATTCATAGGGTTTCTCTCCTGTGTGAATTCTCCGATGTACTCTAAAGGCTGACTTACGGCAGGAGGATTTCCCACATTTGTTACAACCATGTAGTTTCTCCCCAGTGTGAGTTCACTGATATTCAATGAAGGTTCTGGGAGAAGGTTTTCCCACATTCGTTACACTCCTCGGGTCTCTCTCCTGTGTGTGTGTCCTCTGATGGTGAGTGAGGGCTGACTTCTGGCAGCAGGTTCTCACACATTCAACACACGCGTGAGGTCTCTTCCGTGTTCAACAAGGTGTGAGTTTTTGCTGATGGCATCCCCACGTTCATTACACTCAAAGAGATTCTCCTTTGTGTGTGTTCTCTTATGTTTGTTGCGGTCTGACTTCACCATGAATGTTCTACCACATTTATTAAACACACCATGTTTCTCTCCTCTGTGAGTTCTCTGATGTATAGTGAGGGTGGACTCATGACAGAGAAATGTCCCACATTCATTACATATGGAAGATTTCTCTCCTCTGTGAGTCATGTGATGTGCAATGAAGGCCAATTTAGCACACAGAAATTTTCCACATTGACTGCATTCATAGGGTTTCTCCCCTGTATGAGTTCTCTATGTACAACTAGGGTGGGCTTCTTAGAAAAGGTTTTGCTACATTCACTGCATTCATTTGATTTCCTTTCTGCACACACCCTCTTCTGTGTAATGAGCTGCCCTTCTGAAGAAGGTTTCCCCCCATTTATGACAGTCAAGAGGTTGTTATTTCAAAGTCTGAATGTTCTGGTGCAGAATAAAGTCTTCATTTCGACTTTTGGCTTTCCTAACTGGATCATATTTGTGGTTTTTGTTTTGTTTTGTTTTTTTACTCCAGAATGACTTTTCTCACACTTAGAGTGGTAGTTTCCTATATCCACTGTATTCATCAGGAATCTTTTTAAAATAGCTTTTCTGGGGTGCCTGGGTGGCTCAGTTGCTTAGGCGTCTGCCTTCCACTTGGGTCATGATCTCGGGGTCCTGGGATCGAGCTCCACGTCGGGCTCTTTGCTTAGTGAGGAGTCTGCCTCTCCCTCTGCCCCTCCCCACCACTTGTGTTCTCTCTCCCTCTCTGTCTCAAATAAATAAATAGAATCTTAAAAACAAACAATTTAAAAAATTTTTTAAATAGCTTTTCATTGCAACAATTACTTCTGAATTAGTTTTCAAATTGGCTCCACAGGGATCATATTTGTAGGATATTTTTCTTGAGGGAACAATATTCATGCCCAGATTAAATGTTTTCCCAAATACATTATTTCTTTCTGTAATCAGTGTTTTATTATTGAGGCATAAAATTTGCCTCAAATGCTGCTTTGGATTTCCTTGTCTTTCTCTAAGACATCACCAACTTCTAGGAAAGAGCACAATTAACAGTAACTTGTGAGCCCTTACACATTTGCTATGAAATAAGAGTTACAACTGCCTTGCAGTGGGGGATTCGACTTCAGGCCCAGCCTCCCAGAATTAAGGACATTTCAAGGGCAAAATCTCCTCTGTGGTTGATTTAGGGGAAAACCAAACCAAAAACCAAACCAAAACCAAACCCCCACTCAACCCCCCAGCCTGTTTCATAGGGTGAAGGGAAGAGGAAACTACCTTTGGCACAGAACGAGTAAGACAGTCACAGGGAACAGTGAGCACAATGCAAACTGCGGGTAAGGCTGACAGAGGCCTGAGTAAGATAGGCAGGAGTCGAGGAAGCACTTGGAGAAGACAGGGAGACAGTGAGACCTGGACACACAGACCTCACTGACCCTTGTCAAAGAAACAAAAAGCAGGTGTGAATCTGAAATTTTGGCAGTGACATGGGAACTCTGGAATTTGCACAAATAAAAAGGAGAATGTGGGCTGAGCAGGGCGGGGACTATGGTGAGGCAAGCATGACGTCTAGAGCACCTGCATGACCCTGAGAGTGAGTGTTTTTTTAAATTTGTGCCCGAGACACCTTGTTTGCCTCACCACAGTCCCCACCCTCATGGGGCTGAGAAAGGAAAGTGAAACTGCAATTTCTCAGTTAAAGGATAGAGAGAAAAATGGAAAGTAACTAGTCAGATCATGTAAACCAAGCAAGATTTCTTTTTCGTTTTTAGAGGCGGGGAGGGGCAAAAGGACAGAGAGAACCTTAAGCAGACTCTGTGCAGAGCGTGGAGCCCAACGTGGAGCTTGATCTCACAACCCAGAGATCGTGACCTGAGCTGAAATCGAAAGTCGGACGCTTCACCGACTGAGCCACCCAGGCGCCCCAAGATTTATTTCTCTCAAGATAGATCTATGAATGTCTGAATATACAACAAGTCTATGACAATGGTCGGTGGGGGGGTGGTCAGGTAGGCAACAGAGAATGCCACAGAAATAATGTGGAAGGTACGGTGAGGGAGGGACTGGGTTCTGGGGATACGTAACTTAGTGGCAAAAATCTTTATAAATTTTTCAATTAAAGAGAAGAGTACATTTATTTGGGGATGATGTTTTATGTATCTGCAGCATGACAATGATCTAATCCTCCATTACCTCCCAAGGTCTGGGGCCTATAAAAAGAGATTCCTGAGAAACTTACAAAGATGCCAACTATGATCAGTAACGGCTTTGGAACTCTCCTTTCCACTGGTTTCCACCTACTCTGATCAGTTACTCACCTGGGTAGTTCTGACCTGAGAATTCCTCCACTATCCGTGGCTCTTCTCCTTGCTCCAGTTTGAAGATCACATCTGGTTTGCTAACATGATACCCTGTTAATGGGAAATAACACAGAACTTGGACCAAGCTCTTTGGACTTCAGGGACTCTGAAGGATGAAGAGAGCACAGCTTTAGAAGCTACGTGATGAGGATGCCCAGCAATTCATCAATAAAGCTAGAACATTTGGAGGAAGGTTGGGAGGGGCAGTGGATACACACACAGAGTTCTACTGCCTAAATCATCTTTCTTCCTGATGCTCAAGGCTAAATAATTAAATTCAACATGTTTTTGTGACACAGAGCAAATGCATGCTCTTGGGAGCTAAACAGGGGAGCCGCACTCACCCACGGAGACCAGCTGTCTGTAGTTTTCCAGAATCACAGCCCTGTCCAGGAGCCTCCGAGCAGGACACAGTTGCTGCCACTCCTCCCGGGTGAAGTCCACAGTCAGGTCCTTGGATGAAACTGATCTCCGAAAGAATATGTTCAATCCAAGGTGAATAGAATCCCATTGGATTCTCGGGGTGCTCCCTACCCTTCACTTTGGAGACTGCTGTTGTGAATAGTGGAAATCCATAGAGATATTTGTTAGCAAGAACTGGAGTCTTATGATCAAATTTATATTTTAGAAGCAATGCTCTAGAGCACAGGGGTCAGCAAACTACAGTCTGTGGGTCAAATCCAGCCCACTGGGAGCCAAATTAGGCCATGCCCATTGGTCGACACATTACCAACCTGCCTTCACACCACAGAGACTGTGTTGAGTGGATGTGACAGAGACCATGTGGCCCTTTGAAACAATGTGTGCTGTCCCCAACCCTAGAAAAGTGGCAAATGGCTTAAAGGTCAAATTAGAGGGAAAGAAAGCTAGGACCGCACTGTGAGTCATGCCCACGGGTAGTTCTAGTGGGGGTGGGAAGGAGGGAATAGACCCTACACGATGAGGAACCAGGGGATTTGGCCTCTAACTGGTTGTGGGAAATGTAATGTCCAGATTATTTTGCATGATCAGCTGGTAGTACTGTATGCTGAGATCAGGAAGACAAAACCAAAAAAGAACTGACCACAGAAAGCTAGTGCATTGCTATTTAGAATGTTACGCTTGGGTCTGTGGAGCATACAAGTAGAGATGTCCAGCTGGATATTTGGTTCTGAGCTCAGAAGACGGAGAAGACAGAGTGGTAGCAAAAGCCACACTGAAGGCGTAAATAACAGAGAAGACCTCTATGAACCAATACGGAGTGATTTTTGGGCTATATTGTTAAGTGAAGAAAGCAAAGTGTGGAAGAATATCTATAGTATGCTACCTTTAATGTAAGAAAGAAGGGGATATAAGAAAAGTACAGCTGACCCTTGAACAACGTGGGAATTAGGGGCATTCATCCCCTGCACAATCGAAAATCCACGTGTAACTTTTGACTCTCCCCAAAAACTTAACTACTAATAGCCCACTGTTCATCCAGAGCCTTATTGATTACATAAACAGCTGATTAACACATACTTTGTATGTTATATGTATTTTATACTGTATCCTTGAATAAAATAAACTAAGCTAGAGAAAAAAAAATGTTATTAAGAAATATAAGGAAGGGCGCCTGGGTGGCTCAGTTGGTTAAGTGACTGCCTTCGGCTCAGGTCATGATCTTGGAGTCCCGGGATCGAGTCCCGCATCAGGCTCCCTGCTCGGCCGGGAGTCTGCTTCTCCCTCTGACCCTCCTCCCTCTCATGCTCTCTGTCTCTCATTCTCTCTCTCTCAAATAAATAAATAAAATCTTTAAAAAAAAAAAAAAAATATAAGGAAGAGAAAATACATTTATAGTACCGTGCTGTATTTATAAAAAAAAAAAACTCTGCATGGAGCACTGGGTGTTATGCGAAAACAGTGGATCGTGGATCACCACATCAAAAACTAATGATGTACTGTATGGTGACTAACATAATAAAATTAAAAAAAAAAACTGCATAGAAGTGGATCCACACAGTTCAAATCCATGTTGTTCAAAGGTCAACTGTACATGTAGCCACTTGTGTGTAACAAAGATAAACAAAAAGATAAACCGGAAACCAATGAATGGGTTACCTTCCAGAGGTAGGTGGGAACAGATGGGAAGAATAGAGGAGCAGGAATGGGGAGATGGATGCGGGGAGGTGACAGTTTTCTAAGTATATCTTTCCATATAGTTCTGATTCTTAGAACTATGGTAATAGCACACACCCCCAAAATAAATATAATCAACCAGGATGTGGAATCGAGGCCCCATATGGAATATAAACAGTAACAAATGAACCTAACTATAATAAAATTAAGTAACTACAGTGAAGGGGTTTGAGAAAGAAAGTAAGCAACTTTGGAGAAGAGGGTTTTGACTACATTGTGTAAGGCTAAAGAACTGTGTGCAGTGACATTCTAGTTGGGAAATTCATTTTTCACATGGGGTGTGGATCAGCGATTCTTTAACAACCTCATGTGTATACTTGAATGAGCAAATAAGTAAATATAATGTAGATTGTGACAGCCAGGTTTCTCCCTGTCAGACAAAGAGGTTATAAATAAGAAAAAGAAAAGGCTAGAATGAACCCAAGAAAACGACTGGCCAGTAAAGGTCACGAGAGACAGAGAAAGACTGTTCGAGATTGCAGGAGGCTAAGGAGACATGACAACCGAATGCAATGGGGGATCCTAGGTTGGATCCCTGAGCTGAAAAGGACATTCCTGAGACAACTGGCAAAATTTCAGTAAGATGGAGAGTAGCACTGTATTAATGTAATTTCCCTGGTTTTGATTGCTGTGCTGTGGTTTTCAAAGATCAGGAGAAGCAGAGTGAAGGGTATGTGTGCTTTGTGTACGATTTTTCTAATTCTTTTGTAAGTCTAAATAAATAAAATCTTAAAAAAAAATGATCTGAGCATATTACCATACTCCATTTTACATTTGAACACACAGTATTTTTATACTTTTTATACAGGGAACACTGTATTTAGTTCAGATTGGAACTTCAGGGATTTCCACTTCTTTTGAAAAATACTGCTAATGGCCATCCTGCTCACGGGACTTGAATCATGAAACATTGCACCCACATCTGTGGGAATTTTTAACTGTCACATTCACAGTGATTCTACCTACAGGTACACACATCAGACTACCTCTCTGACTTAGTACAGTTGTATGTGAGTGTTCCATACTAAAATACATATTAACTCCTTTTTTAATTAATTAATTCAATTAGTTTGCTTTTATCCCTTTACATCAGAGAATTTTACTGATTTTTAAAAATTATGCAAGTAGGTTCTATTACCCATGATTTCCAAAATAAGATGAAGGGAAGATGGGTTTTAGCTAGGATGTCTAGGAAACAGAGCTGACTCTTATATGGGGGGCTCCAGCCAGAGCAGTGAGGGTGGAAAGAAAGGATGTAAGCAACGAGGGGTGACAGGCGGCACCACCCTGCCCACCACTTCACTACACGCCCAGACAGGCAGCAGGTCTCTGAGCAGGAGCATTCAGCCAACGCGTGGGACCTCTCCACAAGGGCCACATGGATAGTACGTGGAGGAGTGAAAGGAGTGAGAACGTATCTGTCCACTTGCTTCTCATTTCCCACTTCCCTTCAGTCAAGGTTCACCCCGAGATGACTTCCAGATACCCCACTTCCTGTGTTGTTTTATCTGGGTCTATAGGAGGGGCAGCCCGGCATGGGTGGAGTATTGACGGAGAGATAAAGGAGATGGGTGAACATGAGGTTTGTGTCCTAAGAGACATTATAGAAAGTGTCCTGGGTCTGACGGTGGTGAGAACCCCTCACCATGCTTTGTGTTGTCTGTGTAATGTCTAGCTCCTTCACCAGCTTCTGAGCTCCCCGAGGACAGGGACAAGATCTCTTTTATTCAAGCTGTATCAAGAGCATCGTGCCGTGCATAGTGTTTGGCATATACTGGCTTGATCTATATGTGGCTGTGGAATGAAAGGTTCATAGTGGTAGGAATTAAAAAGAAGAAAAAGCAGGTCATGACAAGAATAGCTTTATCAGTCATACCAACGACCGAAAGAGCCTGGAAGTGGTGTGGAACCACTGCAGCAATTTCTGTATTAAGAGACATGACTAGATTGGCATTTTAGGGGGATCACTCAGCGTGAACAAGTCTTCTCGTAGGGAAGGGAAGAAGGCAGGCAAACGGAGAGTTATGATAATCCAGGAGAGAAAAACTGAGGCAGGGGAAGAGGGGATGGAGGACAAAGAACAAATTCCAGAAACGTTTACGAGACAACATTCGCAAGACTTGATAACTGGATATAGGAGGTGAGAAAAAGGAGAGCTTGAGCTGGGCCCCATTATCTGGCCTGTCTAACCTTCCAGATAGTAGGGGCACTGATAGGGAATGAAGAGGAAGAAGCAAACTGAAAAGACTGGAAATGTTATTTCCATTTTGAACATGAGGACTCCAAAGGCCTTCTGGACGTGCTTATAGAGACGCTCAGCAAGTCTCAAGCTGAGGTGGAAAAAGACTTCAGAGCATAAAAAGCTGCATGTCAAAACCACAAAGGGGATGAAAAAAACCCAGGAAGAATAATGGGCTAGTAATGTAGGGAAGAAGATTCTATAAAAGATATAAAGAGAGCCAAGAAGAGAACCATGTGGATGATATCAGAGATCATCAGAGGTGCATGTCAGGGAGGGGATGGCCATACTGTCAAATGCAACACAGAGTTCAGTAAAGCACAGACTGGAAAAAAACCACTGGGTTTGGAAATATTTAGGCTACTGCTAAGTTTTACCAGGACAGATCCAGCGTGGGGGCGGGGGGCGCAGATCCAAGACTGCATGAAGTGAGTTGAAGTGAGACCAGCAAATGAGGAAGTTTTACCCACAGGATAGAAGACTGAATTGTTCCCTCTACAACCGGTTTCAAAAGTAGAGCTGAAAGAAATAGTTATAGGACACTATTTGATGAATAGGTGATCCATTTATTCTCATTTTTATCCCTGGATCATAGAGAATCATCTGAATGGTGTCTACTCAGAGGACAATGAATTGGTCCCCTCCAATAACTGAGCTTTGCCTGCATATGAAAGTCACGGGAAACCCACTGCATTTCTTTCACGATGTTCTTGGCAAGACTGGCCCCTGTGTCATTTATTCAAAGATCATCTAAGAAAATGTTTAGATATAAATGACAGGAAAACCATTCAAATAGCCAATGTAAGACCTATCTCATATTGTCTGGGCCCTTCTGGATAAGTCTATAGGAACATATGATTTCTGTATATTTATGTCAATTTTTCCAGCAGTGATCTGATACTCTTTTTTCTGATGCTTTATTTTACATATTTCTACCATTTCATTTGAATGAACATTACTAGAAATGTCTTTGAAATCCACTGTAAAATGTGGGAACTAAATCCCTAAACAACTTACCTGGGATTTGTTCATTTTCGGATGCTCTTGAGAAAGGGCCAGGAGTTGGGATACCAGACCTGGGTAAGGAAGAAAAGGAATATAGTCATGAGAGGTCTGGCTAACTCAGCAGCTCTTAGGATTACCTATCAAGAAAATGGTCTTATGACCAATCCGGTGAAGGAACATCCACTTGTCCATTTATAATTCTGAAATGATAATAGAGAACTTTTCTTACTGAGTGAATATAAACAATTATTTTTTTTATGGAATTACTGTCAACTTAGGCCTTGGAAAAAATTAAAACTAACCTGAGTGCAGTAATAGATTGGATCAATAAAATTCAGGATATACAAAGTTTGGAACATGATTCCAACATTAAAAATAATACTAGGATTACAATACTTATTGGCACAGAAAATGTTGAAATTATGTCATTTACCTATTTTCCTACTAATATTTTTTAGCCATTTGAGAGCAGAGAATCCAGGAGAAGCTCAGAAAGGAATGCATGTGCTTTAAGATGTTTGCCTTTTTGTCTGGCCTCCCTCAGATGCAGTTTCACCAGAGGATCTTTTGCTAAGAAACTTGTTTTAACTTAAATGTGGTAGAGGACAGAGCCCTGACCTGGAAACCGAGATGTGAATTCAGTTCTTGGCTATCACTAGCAACTGCATAACTGAAGAAGATATTGGCCTCCTGAGTCCTAATTTTAAAATAAAGCAAAGTTACACAGTTTTAAAAAACCTTCTCTTTACCTCCACTTGTGATTCTACAAGGGGGACATTTGATGAATCCCAGGTTTGGTGGTGGACGTGGTTTGAGTGGCTAAGAATAAACAGAAAGAGTGGAGATTACAGGGAATGACACGTATGTGCTTGGAAAGGGATGAGAAATTATTTCCTTAGCTATGGCTGGTACCCCTTCCCTCCAACCCACACCCCCACAAATACTTCAGGGAAGCGTCTTTTCCTGTCCCATCTGTACCCTGCTCTTTCCCTTCTTTTGAAAGTTGAACTAAAAGTTTTGCTGAGCTACAATATCCATGGTCTCTGACATGGTGTTATCATCCAGACTTTGCTCACACTGGAGAGGAAAATTCTGCCCCGTAACTTGAATACGTTCCTTTCAAGGATTCTTCTGCTTCCACACTGAAATTCTAGGGAGAGGTTTCCGTTCAGGAATATGTTCTCCCAGGTGGGATTTCTGTTCCTGGGGACTGCTGCTTTTTACTTCACAGGAATGGTTTTGTTTCAACCTGGACCTTGGAGCCACATTTCCATTAGCTGGAACCTACACTTGGACTCCCAAGGGTCAAGTGCCTGGTGAGCTGGACTTTTTCTAGAATCTAATCAGGGCTGCTGAAAAGTGAGACGATGCTTCAGGAGCAGGAAGAGCCTAGAAGCCTCAATTACGCCTTGTGACCTAAGGAAAACAAGTCGAACGGTCTATCAAAACATATGGCACAATTGCTTCTTAGGACACACACAGGACAAGTCACTGTGCCAGAGAAAACTCAATGGGTGTAGGTAGAGGAAAACGCATACTGCAGAGATCATGAGACCAGGAGTAAAATAGACCTAGTTTGAAAACTCAACCCATTCACTTTAGCTTTCTGCAAATGAGGTTTTTAAATGTGCTCCAACAGGGGAAGTAATGCTGTCCCCACAGCTTGGTTGGGAAGATTGAATGAAATGTCTAAAATTCTTTGTAAACTGATAGCAGGGAATACTTATCCAGGACATACTATATTTTTGGCTCGACCCTCGGATCATTTTACCTCGGAACAACCCTTGTGAGGCAAATATGATTACTATGCTCATTTTACAGGTGAGGAAACATGATTAGTCTAAATAACATGCCCAAGGATGCAGTGCTGTTTTGTGACAGGACCTGATCTGAACCCAAACATCACGCTCTTAAAACCTAATGCAATGCTGCCGACATCTCCGCCCCGACCCTCAAGTCCCTCACTGAACTCTTTCTCGTCCAGTCAATTCTGCACCCTGGCCCTTCCCTTCAACTGCAGTTCGCATCTTTCTCCTAACAAATACTTAGTGTAAAATAACTAACATAATAATAATAGTATTTATTTCTCACAATGAATATTTGCTCACTTCCCTGCTGCCCTCTAGCACTTTTCAACCCAGCCCGGCAGGCTGCAGATCCAAGTGCATCAGCGAAACTTCGGGAATCAGACTTTAGCCATTTGGATGCACAAACCTTTCACCCTCACAAAGCACCTTCTTCAGGCAAAGAAAGGCTGCAGAGCGCGCCCGCCCTGAGGCCTGCGGGACAGGAGGCCAGCCTGGCTCTCGCCGCTCTTCTCCGGGACCAGCGGAAAGCCGCTTGGAGACTCCCTCCCGAGGGATGGAGGAGAGCGCGCGTCCACCCTCCGCGGACCGGGGCCAGCTCCGCCCCGCCCTTCCCTCCGACCCCCGAGGGCCCGGAGCCCCCTGCCAGTCCTTCTTCTAACTCGCGGTTGCACCCGCTGCGCTTCCACTTTGCACCAAGTACAGGTGAGCGTGGAACCCGACCAACTGGAGACTGCAGGACGCGCCTCCGGAAGAACCTGGAGAATGAGAAACAGCGCCAGGCAGAACGCCAGCATCCGCACACGCGCAGAAGCAGGCCCCGGGCCGCCCTTCCCAGGGTTCCCCAAGGGCCGGTCGGCGCCTTTTTGAACTACATTTCCCATAAGGCGCCGCGGTCCCCGCCGCCTGCTTAGGAATTCTTCAAGGAGCGTCTGCTTTGATTACCGGGCTTGATGAATTGCTATGAACCATTAATACAAGAAGAAAAGTTGCCTATTAACTTCATCGAAGACTATAGCTGAGAAGCGAAGATTACAGACTATGAAATGTCCACCCACATGTTAATGATTCCAAAATCTTTATCTTCCTCCTAAACTTCCCTAAAGAGCACCAGAGCCGTTTATCTTACTCTTTCTACTGTTTTTCCCCTCTGAGCATCAGAAAACACACTGGGGAATAACGCTGCAAACATTCTAAATGTGAGAAAGCCTTCTTTATATCTGAGATCTCGTAGGGGAGCAATCAGAAGAATGTAACCAATACAGGAAAGACTTCACCTATTTGGGTGGATCCATATAAACATGTTGAATGTGTGAAAGCATTGTGGAATTCAGACATTATCTATCCAAGAATTCATGCTGAAAGAAAATTTATCAGTGGGGAGTGCAGTAATAAAAAAAAGTATGATATACTCTCAAATAAAACAATAGGCAAACATATATGAAGCATAATTTTATCTTTTACATATACATGTTTAGATAAAGATATGCACATTTAAGTAGGTATTCATTTAGATAAAATTTAGAAAGATATGCTCCAAAATTAACAATGGTAATCCATGAGATTATTTAGGAGGAAGAGGGACTTTCCCTTGTGCATATATATATTTTTTCTATGAATAAGTAAAATGGATGATTTTTCCATTTTGTGTATGAAAGATAGACAAAGTGAAATGGAAATATAAAGGCATTCTTGGCCTATTAATTTGAATTTCAAGTGTGTGTGTCTGTGTAAAGAGAGAGAATAGAATATACACACACATACAAATAGATCTTCATTGAGATAAGCCCTGGAATTGAAAATATTAAATGTTCACTACTTATAGGTACAGGTTCAGGTTGATACGGAATTTTTATTTTTGATATTAAGTATTTTTCTTTTTAGAAATTTCCTTAATGTCTCAGTAACTTCTGTCTTTCCTCAAATCATTCTTTCTGCCATCTTGCCATCTGCTGTTAACTGGTCATCTAATCTGTGGTGGACATCTGTTGGTTTTCTTGGTCCTCCTTACATCCATACTACCTTAACATCACTTCATTTTTCCTCAGGAGAACTACCACACTTCCATTAAGGTCTGCCACATACACTTGCATAGGAACACTGCACAACTCCAGAGGATTCATCCATTTAGATTGCTGAATAGCACCTGCTGAAATTGAGCAGTGCCAAACCTATACAACTGTCAATGGCAGCCATTGAATGATGGGCCAGTAAGTTGCCCATCCCACTCCTGGCCTAGGTGGAGCCGAGTCTGTCTGATATGGAAGCCTTGAAGCAATTGCCCATTCCTGTTGTGTAGATCTCTGGAGTTATCCTGGTTCTGGTTCTTACCAACTCCAACAAATTCCTTTTTTGTGTAGCTATTCAGAGATACTTTGTGTTGCCAACAAAGAACTCCAATAAGTCACAATCCACACCTCAAGCCTTCTTCAAACTGGAAGCCAAATCACAGCAGAGGGTCTTGAGTGTTAAAACTAAAGCTAGTCTTTGTTCGTTATCCATCATTTAATCACCCAACAATTATTTCTGGATACCTGCTATGTTCCAGGCACTGTTCTAGGCTCTGGGAAACAAGAGTGAAAAAGCCCAACACCGTCCCTGCCTTCATGGGATCTGCCTATTCAGAATCTGGTGAGGAAGACCACAGTATTTATCAGCCACAAGTAGCTATACCATTTCAAATAGCTATAGAATTCCAAATTGTAAGGAGCTCTGTGAGGAAAAAGAATGGAAAGCTGTGTGGAAGATTTTTTTTTTAATTTTTTTATTGTTATGTTAATCCCCATACATTACTTCATTAGTTTTTAGATGTAGTGTTCCATGATTCATTGTTTGTGCATAACACCCAGTGCTCCATGCAGAACGTGCCCTCCTCAATACCCATCACCAGGCTAACCCATCCTCCCACCCACCTCCCCTCTAGAACCCTCAGTTTGTTTTTCAGAGTCCATCATCTCTCATGGTTTGTCTACCCCTCCGATTTCCCCCCTTCATTCTTCCCCTCCTGCTATCTTCTTCTTCTTTTTTTTTTTTTTTTTTTTAACATATATTGCATTATTTGTTTCAGAGGTACAGATCTGAGATTCAACAGTCTTGCACAATTCACAGCGCTTACCAGAGCACATACCCTCCCCAGTGTCCATCACCCAGTCACCCCATCCCTCCCCCCCACCCCCCACTCCAGCAACTCTCAGTTTGTTTCCTGAGATCAAGAATTCCTCATATCGGTGAGGTCATATGATACATGTCTTTCTCTGTTTGACTTATTTCGCTCAGCATAATACCCTCCAGTTCCATGCACGTCGTTACAAATGGCAAGATCTCATTCCTTTTGATGGCTGCATAATATTCCATTGTATATATATATGTGTGTGTGTGTGTGTGTGTGTGTGTGTGTGTGTAAGATATTTTTAAGTAGACAGCATTTATTTTAGGCTTGGAAGTGCAAGCACTTTCTATGCTTCCTAACGATCACCCAAACAATGCTGCAGCTTAAGTCCGACTGTAGGTCCTATTTCACAGATGCGAAAACAAAACCTACACAAAATAGAAAGATATATCATTAATAATTTATAAATATAAATAGGGTTTTTGCCAGGACCTGGAACTTTAAATACTAAAACTGGGGCAGTCCTGGGCAAACACAGACAAGTTGTAGTTCTAATAAACACAGACAAGTTGTAGTTCTAATAAATAACTCTGCTAAGGTCACACTTTAGGGAGTGGTGGGGTGAATACTGACTCCAGATCTAGTTTCACTCCAAAGTTCATGTACACAGTGACCACCCCACAGGTGCCCTCCGATGTGAGCAGTCTGTGGAGAAACGGAGGCGAGCAGGAGAGGCTGAAGGCAGGTCAGCGAGAGGCTGAGGCAATGGTCCAGCAAGACATAGGAGTGGAGATGAAAGGAGGCTTTCTCCCATCACTAACTGTTTGGATCGGAAGGGAGAAGGGGACAGAAGTGGGATGACTCAAGGGTTTTGGCTCAGGAGTGGGGAGGAAGTGATCTGGGGAGGAGGACGATGATTCAAATCGGCCATAGTGTGTGTATCACCCAGGTAGAAATGCTAGAGCACAGCCGGAGAAGAATCTCAGAAGAATCCTTGTCCCCACCCCAGCTGTCCCTTACTCAGCTCTTTCCAAGGCACCAAATGCCACTTAAGCCCAGGTTCCTCCTCCCCAGTCTTTCCTCCTCCTCCCTGAGTGTGGTCCAGAGCAATCCTTTTAGCCATATTAAATGCAAGCGGCTCCTTGGGCTTCTCTCCCTCTAAGCCTGCCAACTCAGCTCTCTCTCCTGCCTAATTGAGCTGTTCACTTGCCAGCAGCAAAGGGCAGTACTTGGCAATGAACTAAGTACATCTCAAGTGGCATTCTTTATTTTCCCATACCCTACCTCATCTCTAGTCTTCCTCATCTTAGTAAAGGCATCTTGGTAATGCCACTGATTGCTAAAACCTCCACCCGTTTGTTAAAACCAAATATTCAGGAATCATGACTCTCTCTCCCTCACTGCTGACATCCAATACTTAAGGAAGTCCCTCAGTCCTACCTCCAAAACGTACCTCAAATTAATGCACCTTTCACCACTACGCCCTGGACTGGCACTTTCCTCCATCCCGAACCTCTTGATAGGACAACTGCAGTCGCTTCCCAGGTTCTCTGCTATGTTCTTGCTCTTCACTCTATGGCCCATTCTTCATACAGTATCAAGTGAGCTCTTAAAAATGTAAGCCACTCTCCTGCTGACACCCTTCAATGGCATTGTTTTGCACTTGAAATGAATCCAAACTCTTTCCACAAGCCCCAGAATGCCCTGCAGGATGCGGCCCCTCCCCCCCTCCCCCTCTTACTCATGGTGCCTCTGCTAGAGCCTCCATCCTTCTATCTGTTTAACATGGTGTGATGGTTGGATAGTGTCCCCCCAAAGTTCATGTCTACCCAGAACCCCGAAAGTGACCTTATTTGAACATAGCGTCTTTGCATGTGTCATTAGTGAAAATGAGGTCATCCTGGATTAGGGTGGCCCTAAATCCAATGTCTGATGTCATCATAAGAGAAAGGAGAGGGAGATTCAGACACAGAGGAGAAGCCACGGGAAGACAGAGGCAGAGATTGGAGTGCGGCAGCTACGGGCCAGGGAAAAAGCTGGGGAGAGGCAAGGGAACGTTCTTCCCTTGAGCTGCAGAAGAGCATGGCCTTGTGGACACCGGGGCTGCCAACTTCTAGCCTCCACAAACTGTGAGAGAATAAACTTCTGTTATTTTAAGCCCCCCGGTTTGTGGTGCTTTGTGACGGCGGCCTGGGAAAGCTAATGTACATGGCAAGGACCTTCCTGCCTTGGAGCCTTTATCCTTTGTACTCTGTACACGATTTCCTTCAGCTCAGTGCCCAGCCCAGATGCCCCCAGTCATGGGCATGTGATTCCTACGGTGGGAGGGAGGGTGATGCTGGCTGGTGGGGTAGGAGAGGCTCTGCTCCCTCAGTCACTCAATGAACACCCACAGAGCACCTGCTCCATGCTGGATGCTGGGGATACGACAATGAACAAGATAGCCACTGACTTGTTCACTCACACATTCATTCGTTTACTACTCATGCATTCATTCATTCAACACATATTGCTGGGGGCCTAGACACATTGTGGAAGTTTCTAATAATGGTCTGGATAGTTTGTCATTGCTTCCATGGGAGGTAGGGTCTGTGTTCCCTTCCCTTGGATCTAGGTGGACTTGTGACTTCTTCAACAAATA